AAAGGAGACAGGAAGAAATGATGTTGGGGGGCAGAGGGGGCAGAGGGACGCTCCTGGATGTGTGCCCCAGTACAGCCACGGGACACTGGTGCCCCGGCCATACCAATCAGCTGCAGCCTGTCCAAGGCAGGCAGTGGGATACCCTCTGGTACCTATTTGCAGCTCCCCCTGCAGCCAGGCTGAAATGCATACTCCTTAAGGCCAAAGACAGCTGTGGGACCCCCTGGTGGGTTGTCTGGGGTGGCCGGGGCCCTCCCACCTGAAGCTGGGGCAATGTCTCTGGTACGGCTTGTAGCCACCCCGCCACGGGCGCAGGTTTTGTGGAACACAAAGACAAAGCCTTGCTTTGTGGCGCCCGGCATCGAGGGGGCTTGCAGCCAGCAATGGAAACGTGCGGCTTTTCCATTAAGGGTAACCTCTCCCCCTTCAACCGGCCACCAGACTCCTTCAAATCTGGGTAGGTGGGAGGAGCAGGAAAACCCCAGCCCATTAAATCGCTTATTAGTTGCAGGTTTCTGAGTATGTACGCAAGTATTTTGAGACTGCAGGTCTCACACTGTCCCCTTGACCATGGGGTTTGGGGTGTTTAACCCACGTTACTACTGGAAAGGGGGCAGGACCCCCAGCCCCAACTGCAAGAAGCAAGCAGTTTTGGATTCACCCACGTGCTTTTCCAAGTCTTATTCTAAAGGAGAGAAAAACACACAGACACAACCCTCCTCAAGCTCAAAATGTCTTTCAAGTCAGTATTTCTCTTTTTAAAGGCGCATTTCTGCACCTCCACCCATGACCCAGGTTTAGTCTTTCCACACAACTCCCTCTCCCTCCTTCCTCAAGACCTGCTCTGAAACAAGCTTAGCCTCTTTACGATCCCAAACTAGAGAAAGGAAAGGAGAGGGAGGGACCAAGGGAGGCTGGTTTTCCTGGAACCCTTATTAAATCAACTTTCCAAGGACAGCCAGAAACTCCAGGCCCTCCCCACTCCCTCAGGAGCATTTGCAGACTGGGGGAGGGGCTCCCAACACACACACACACACACACACACACACACACACACACACACACACAATTACAGAAGGCCCTTCTGAAGGGGAAAAGCTCTCTGTGGGAGCAGAGTTTGGGGTTTAAACTTTTGCACAAACCCTTTATACACAGATTATAGTCTTTTCTGAGGACAATAGCAGCATTATTATTTAATAATCAGCAGGGCCAAGACCATACAGTGATACTTTACCTTTGTGGGGTACCTTATGGTTTACAAAGCGCAGGGACAGATTTTCCCTAATGACCTCCCAGCAATTCTCTGAAGACTGTGGGGGGCACGTACTTTGCTATCACAAAGCTCAGGAGGGGTAAAGCTCTGTGAAAGAGCCACACTGCACCCACAGGGGGACTTAACCAAACAGGGATCTGGGACTCGTCCCCGGAGTCCAGTGGACTTCCACATCTGTGTCCTAACATTCCACACCACCCAGGGAACAAGCCCCTCACCACGTGCTGTCTTCTGTGGGGTCCCAGGAAAAAGCACTCACAACCGTCATTTATTGCCCACTGACCATGTGCCAGGCACTGTGCTGAGAGCTCTGCACACATTCTTATTGGATCTTGGGAGCAGATGTTCATTATCATTATATTTTATAGAAGTTCCACACACAGGAACTTTCCCAAGAGTCAACAGTAAGAAGTGGTGCCAAAATCAAAACCAAGGCAACTGAGCAAACCTTATGTCCACACGAGACTTACACACAGATGTTCACAGGAGCTTTATTAATAATAACCAAACCTGTTAACCCAAGTGGCCATCAACCGGGGAATGGCTACACAGTCACCACATAATGCCATTATGTGAAATTCTAGAAGAGGCAAAGCTAGTCTATAGTGACAGAAAGTAGATCTGCGGTTGCTGGGGTCAATGCTGCATAGGTGACTGAATGCAAAGGGGCCAGAGGGAAGTTTTGGAGGTGATGAAAATGTTCCCTACCTTGACTGGGGTGGTAGTCACATGGGACATTATATTTATCAAAACACACTATACCCTTAAAAATTGGTGTACTGGGGCACCTGGGTGGCTCAGTCGGGTAAGCATCTGACTCTTGATTTAGGGTCAGGTCATGATCTTATGGTTTGTGGATTTGAGACCCGAGTGGGGCTATGCACTGACAGTGCAGAGCCTGCTTGGGATTCTCTCTCTCCTTCTCTCTCTCTCTCTGCGCCCTCGCCCCCGCTGGTGCTCTCTCTCAAAATAAATTATATTAAAAAAAATGGATGTTATTTTTCAAAATGTAAATTATGCCTCAGTTGATTTTTTTTTTAAATGGGGGTCTGACTTCAGTCTTCACTGCTGCAGAGCCCTCCTAATAGCCCCCTCCACCTTCCCTATTCCCTCCCTTCTGTTCCTGGCCTGTGTTTCCTCCTCATCAAAACCTTCAGCCCCCTGGCTCCACCCTCTATCACCGCCTGGACTTCCTTTCTCAGTTAGGATCCACAGCCAGTGGATTCAGTGAACCTCTCCACACCCACCCCACCCCACAATTCCTTGGGCCCGAGACCCATACCATTCACTTACTCCATTCTCCATTTCTCAAGGGCAAAGGAGTTTGATAGAGAAAGTTGAAGAAAAGAAAAAAAAGCACTTTAGGGCCCAACATAAATTCATATTCTCAAACCTCATCCAAGCCCTCCTTGCTTTTTGGACTCCCTTATTACCGTCTACACTGTGGCTGATCCAAATCTCTGCTCCTCATAAACCTTCTGCCCTAACTCACTCCTTTTACTTTCATTCTGTCTCTGTCTCGAATCACCCAGAGTTGACAGCCAACCTACTGAAAACCACAGATTCTATTTCTATAGTGTCTGCTGGTTTTCCCTTCCAACTCACGCCCCCCACTCTGGTTCCTTCCTCTAGCTAGACATTCAAAACAAACAGCTAAACAAACAGCTAACTCGTCTGTCTGGCAACTGTGGTAACAGCAGTAATAACTACCAAAACTTTACCTGTAGGTGTCTTATCTGGGTACCTCATTTAACGCTTTATTACTGTCCCCATTTTAAAGATGGGCAAACTAAGGGGCATCTGGGTGGCGTAGTCGGTTAAGTGTCCAACTTCGGCTCAGGTCTGATCTCACCATTTGTGAGTTCGAGCCCCACAAGGGGCTCTGTGCTGACAGATCAGAGCGTGGAGTCTGTTTCGGATTCTGTGTCTCCCTCTCTTTCTGCCCTCCCCACCTCACACTCTGTCTCTCTCTCTCTCTCTCAAAAATAAATAAACATTAAAACATTAAAAAGAAAAAACAGATGGGCAAACTAAGTCTTAGTGTGCTTGAGTAATTTGTCAAAGCAAGTAATGCAGATATTAAATGGCAGAGCAGGACTCAAACACAGACTTCTTCTTCCCATCTATCCAAATTCAACTGCCAAGTTAATTTTCTGAAAGCTGGATCCACATCATTACCTGCTCAGAACTTTTTGAGATTCTTAGTATCTACCCATTTATTCCCAGTATCCACTCGTTTAAGCATAGTGTCCTTAGCAGGGTGTTAAGGCCTTCCATATGCTAACGCAATTCAGTTCTTCCAGGTATTACTCCCCACAACTACCTACTCACCAGGCAAGTCATTCTGTATACACCTTATACATCTTGCCTCAGCACCCTCATTCATGCTAGTCTACCTGGAATGCCCTCCATTGCCCTCCAAACCAACCCCCTTGGCTGTCATCCAACAAACCCTCACCCATCCCTCTAGACCCATCTCAAATGCTCTCTGCTCTCCTCTTCCTCTGCATTCCCACTGCATTGTTATGACTCCACTGTGTGGTTAAAACACGGTCTACCTTGTATTTAGTTACCTCTGTACTTATCTCCCTGATAATAAACTCCCTGTGGGCAGAGATGATCTCTCCCACTTTGGGTCTCTGGCATGTTCTAGCTCAAGTCTTACTGAAGTTCAGCTCTGTCTCCGAATGCAACATTAGTCTGTGTGGTCCACCCAAGCACACCTTCCAGAAAGTCTCATGTGATCTTCCCCATCACCATGAGAGTAGACAAATATTTTCACTCATGATTTATCACTCGAACGGGTCCTGACAGTTGAGACTGATGGTTCTTTAAACTCAGCCACTACCTCACATGCACACCTGAGCCTCTCGCCCACTGCCTGCCAACCTTCGTATTTGTGTGATGAGCCACCGAGTCACAAGCCACACTACTCTTTGGCAGCAGTAAGTTCTCACAGTGGGTTCTCACAGGCCCCTGAAAGCCACTAGGTGTGTTATATACCTGTAACCTCCATGAAGTACTTTCACAATTCCAGTAAATCCCATGAGCAAGTCCTTCTCATTACTAATAATGTCCGACTTTGTAAGAAGCTATAGATCTCCAGGAGCATCCATGCACCATAATGCTCCCTGGCTTTCCGTCTCTCTGAAATCCCTCCAGTGGTGCGTATCCAAAGCAAACCGCTCGGCAGGCTTCCAACCACAGCCTGTCAGACATGGCCAAGGACGGCAAAATGGCAGGCACGTGGCCATGACTGCCAGCCCTCAAAGGAGATGGAACAATTGTCTTTGGAACAATTTTCTAGAAGCCAGAGGTCTTTATCAAGCTCCCACACCCCTCAACATCCAAGTGCTAAACAAACAAATTCATAGGTCACTTGTGCCCCATTTTATATGTCATCTAGGTTGGGGAGTCAGCTCTTAGATCCCAATCAGAAGTTCTTCTTCAGGAAGAGAAAAGCATATATTTCTGCCCTAAGCAGGTCACCTCTGGCAAATGGACGTCACTAGCCTTTATGACCCCAGCCTCTGCTGAAGCTGGGTGTGTTTATAGCCAAGTGCAAACCAGCCCAAGTATTTTGGAAGCCTCTCCTACAAAAAGGAGCCCTTTGCTCCATCCGGGGTGGAGCCTTGCCTTCCCGGTCAACCACAACATCACCTTTGTCCTAGCCTGCCAGGTCTCCGAGGCCCAGGAGTCCAGGCTGACCCCTCAGCCCGTGCCTTACCTTGTTCGGGCAAGGTCGGGGCTGGCCTGGCAGTGCAGAGTGTGGCTGTGACCAGCACAGCCAAGAGGAGGTACTTCCAGCTCCACATCCCAGTTCTGCAGTTAGAGGTTGGTGACCAGGCTCCACACCTCCATGGAGACTCCGTCTTGAGCTTGATCCTCCTTTTCAAGCTGACTCTAAGGAAAGAACAAACCAAAAAGTTAGGAGAGTCTGCGTGGGAGGGGGGAGATAGGGAGAAAAAGGAGTTAAAGTGGGTCGCACAGTCACCCTGTCCAGAAGGGTGCTTAAAGCAAAAACTTACTCTTAAGACACAAAGAAGGGAACTGTGGTCCTGCCCCAATACTGAATTTGAGGTTACAGGCCTTAATTAGACAAAACAGTGCTTTAATTCAGCTCTCCGACTACTTCCTGAGTGTGGGCTACATGGCAAGCCTCGTTGGGAAAATTGTCGTGAAGTCCTCCAAGGCAAAAGCCCCAAGATGATTTGTGCTGGGAAAGCAAAGAGCCTGGTGAAAACCCCCAAGAGTTCCGCCCCTTCACAGGCAAGGGCTCCGCAGAGTGTGGTGGGGCTGCGGGAGGCCCCTGCGTGCTGGTGCCCCTCCCAGTACACACTGCACTTCCTCCAGAGCAAACCAGCCCTTTGGTGAGGGGTAGAGAAGATGAATTCTGGAACAAACCAAGGACTGGGAAACCAGTACAACGCTGACCTTCTCTGGACCTGTGCAACCAGGAAGCTGCAGTGAGTGATCTCCTGGGTTCTTTCTTTTGGTCTCTAACACCACACACATCGCAGGGACCTCTGATTCTATGAAGTTCCCGTATGGACAGAACACAACTCTCACCAACTCATAAAGGACCTCAAAGCACAGAACCACGAGGTGGACGCAATGCCCCTCCCCGACGCTGCAAGATGTCTAGCAGAAATGGTTACGCTGAAGAATACGAAGGTCCTTGCCAGGACCCATTCCAAAAAGCACGGACTTTAGCCCCTTACCCTCCTCAGGTTTGGAGTGGTAAAATTTTAAATACCCACTGAGGGTCTTAAGGACAGGATCGTTGCTGCTGCTAAGCATTTACCAAGTGCTAAGACTTTCTGGGCCCTGTTTGGACTGGGGTAGGAGTGACGTCTCCATATTATAGGTTGCTTCTGTCCTAAATGCTCCAAGGAACCATCCAAGTTATTTGGAGAATCCACTTCTCCGGAACATGCCCTAATGTGGTGCTTCAGCCCTGCCTCCTTGGAGCAGACAGGGCCCCTCATGAGTGAGTCAGTCCCCATGAGTGAGTCAGTCCCGGTTGGCAGAAAACCCCCCAGATTCTTGGCTTCGTTCACAGGCGCTGGCTAGTGGGAGGAGGCATGTACTACCACTAGCTTCCTTCCAGGGCTTTACTAAAATTTGATAACTTCAAATCGTTAAATAAATAAACACTTCTCTTTCAATGTTCTAAATTTAGGAAAGGGACTTGAAGAGACAGAACAGGATATTTACTGAGCACCTACTATGCATGAAGCATGTACTAGGTAAAATTTATACTTATAAAACATCTTCTCTTCCTCACTATACACTTTTGGAGGTAGGAATTACTATTCCCCTTTAAGGGATGGGGAAACTGAGACTCCAAGAGGTCGAGTACTTTACTCCTGGCTATGCAGCTGGTAGGCAAAAGCACTGGGACACTCATCACTCGTTTTTAATGCTAAAGGACAGGGCCCAGGGGGCAAGTAGGGGTAAGCAAATCTGGCTCTATCTGGCGCAAGCCCATTTTCTCCAAAGAGCATCTCTGTGTCATAAAGAAACCAAGCAGACATGGACAGACCCAAGGTAGCTCTGGAGATGGGAGCGCCTCAGTTCCTTCGCCTGAGAGAAGACCCTTGGAAGCAGATCAGAGATCTGTCTAGGACCGTCTAAGGGCCGAGGATGGGGCACGGTCCCTGGCCTGGGACAGAAGCGATGCTTGCTACAACAGGGCGTCTGTAAGCCACATCCCACATCTCATTATGCCCCCAAAGATACACCAAACAAAAGATAACAGGCTTGTCATCCAGAAAGGTACCCCTGGCTAAGAACCTAAGCATCACAGGAACTGCCAGAGTAATGAATGAATTTTCAGTATCCAGTGGAAAGGGTGGTACCATGCTGAGGCGATTAAGCTTGTTTTCAATGCAGCAGACAGGTGGCTTCCACCACCACTCAGCCACTCTGTCCCCCAAAAAGCCTCTCCGGCTCCCTCACAGGTGTGGCTGGCTGTGCTCAGCTCTGCTACCAGTGCATGTCAAACTCTTCTAGCTGCTTCTCTCCAGCTCAACCCCAAAAAGGTGCTTCTCTCTGGGCCTCCAGTCCCACATCTGTGAAACAAAGGACGTCAAGAAAACCCAGCCTCCCAGCACCAACCCCTGGAATGAGAAGGATCCCCGTTCCACAAACCTACAGAAAACATGGTGACCCAAACCACCAATCCACATAGTGTCTGGGACCCTAGAACTGTCACCTCTTCCTTTACCACACCCCCCTCTCCTTCTACTAATTAATGAATTCTTAAAATCCCCTAGGGACAGTCTCCCTCCTTCACTGCTGGACAGATGTGACCTGCAGCCTTGCAGGTGTACTCAGAAGCTTCCTCAGAGACCTTGCAGCTGGCTCTACCCTCAGTCTCTCTCAAACCAGTCAGGTCTCCGGGGACCTGAAGCACCCCCCCCCCCAACCCCACCTGGGCACGGAGGTCATCCTCAACTGGGGACTGGAGGGGGGGACACAACTTCTGCATTTCCCCACTTGTTGGAGGAGGTATTTGCCCAGCCTCCATCACAGGTGGTTAAGAGATCATATGGGCAGCATGGGTGAAAGAACCTGCCCTCTCCTAAGTACAAATCCATGTAAGAATCATAGACACTGTGCTTTGAGTCATTCCTGGCCAGCACTCTCAGGAGACGTTGGTAACTGGTGGCAGAAGACACAAACTTCCTATCTTTACAAAGGTATTTCTCACTATCTATCTTCAAACCCTATCCTCTAGACCTAGGTATCCCATGCAATAGCCACTAGCCACTTGTAGCTGCCAAGGACTTGCTTGGAATGTGGCTAATGTGAATTAGGACGTGTTAGAAATGAAACATACACACCAGACTTCAAACCTTGGGTGTGAAAAAAAGGAAGGTAAAGTATCTCATCAATAATTTTTTACATTGGTTACATGTTCAAATGATAGCATTTTGGATTTATGAGGCTAAGTTAAATAGATTATTAAAATCTCAACCAATGAATTAATGAAAGTGAATTCCACCTGTTTCTTTTTTCTGAATTTCAAACATGGCTACTAGAAAAATCTAAGATTACATGTGGCTCGTGTTCTATTTCTTTTTTTTTTAATGCTCATTTTTGAGAGAGACAGAGTGTGAGCTGGGGAGGAGCAGAGAGAGAGAGCAAGACAGAAAATCCAAAGCAGGCTCCAGGCTCTGAGCTGTCACCACAGAGC